TGTACCTATCCATGAATATGAATCTTTTAGGTCTAGGTTCCACAAGTGAATAGACAATATTTTGCTTTTTTGAGCTTGTCTTGTCTTGCTCAGTATGATGTCCTCTCGTTGTATCATGTTCCTGCAGATGGCATTTTCTTTGTCTGTATAACATTCCATGTTCATTATCCACATCTTATCTATTCATCTGTTGTTTAGCACTGGTTGATTCCATCATTTGGCTATTAGGAAGAGTGCTGCAATACCCATGGATGTGCGGGTATCTCTCTGGTATACTGATTCGCTCTCTAGATATATGCCCAGCAGCTGTTAAGGTAGGACCATAATGAAGATCCACTTTTAGTCTTCTGAGGAATCTCCCAGTTGATTTCCAGAAGCTGCACTAGTTTACATTCCCACCAACAGTATGATCTTCTTCCCAACATCCTCTCCAGCATTTGTTGTTTTCTTGATGGCTGTCACTCTGAACTACAATGGAATCTTAGTGCAGTTTTGATTTGCATTTACGATTAAGGATATTAACATTTCTTCATGTATCAGCCATTTGTTTCTCCTTGTGAGAACCATTTATTCAGTTTGTAATTTGATGAATGGATTACATTTACTGTTTAATTCACACTATTAAAAATGATTTTCAGTATTTGTAAGTTCTCAGTGTGGCTAAGGAAGCATCGTCAACCCTCATGATCACTTGTCAAAACTTGCATGTGCTTCCAGCACAGCATTCTGGTGGTCCTCGTAATTGTCCTTTCTTCTTGCTCACATCTCACCCCAGTGTCATGGACGGCTCCCAGGGAGTAACATCCATTACTTTATCAGTACCAGGACATAGTGCTCTGTAGGCACACTACAAATAGCTATTTGTTTGCAGGTGAGACTCGCTTTAGCCCCCAGGTAACTAGAAAGCACAGTGTGGAAGAGATGCCAGGAAGCCCTATGGAGACAAATGATCTCTTGTGAGGATTAAGTAAAAGGAAACAGAGCAACAACTTTATTATGTGATATGCTGTCTAAGAGTCCATTTTCTAAGTGGTAGTTTGGGATGATGAAAAAGTTCTGAAGCCAGACATGGGCACAGCTGCAGAACAGCATGGGTAGACATGATGTCCTGCAACTACATTCTTAAACATGCTTCAGTGGTAATTTTTATGTGTACTTTGCAATTATATAGATTTAAAAGTAGGTTTCCTATTGTTAAGCACTTCCCGGTACTATAGTAATCATGTAGTCATCAAGATAGGATGGTGATCTGTTTGAGATTGGGTTCTTTCTGCTTATTAAATCTGTGAATTTAGAATCCTATCACTTCATTATGCCTCAGTTTTCTTATCAGTGACACAGGAATAATACAATGCTCACTTGCCATTCTAGGTAGTAATGAATTTATATAGGAATTTTGCGAAGTTCAGGGTGAGACATTTCAGTTCTGGCTGATTCTTTTAGGTTTTCATGGTGTACAATGAGGACCATACGCTCCAGCACACAAAGGCTGGTTATCCACTCATCCCTGGACATAATGTCACAAATGCTTGTGAGACCATCTGCCATGAAGCCCATTCCATATTGTGGCCACTGGAGGCCCTGACTAATGACATCCAAGTGTCACAATCCCGAGGCATGATGCCAGAGACGCCACAGGAACAGAAATAATTTAACAAGTCAATATATTTATCAAGGGTAACGTGGTAATATAAAAAGCATTTACCAGAATTACAATGCACGCATACAAAAAAGGCCTTTTTATTTTTTGTCCCTTTTATATCCTATTTTAGACAAAACAGTGAAACCAAGAAAACAATGGAAATGCACACATTCTAAAAACTGGGTATTAACTGGGTATTTTATAAATGAAACAGACCCCATCATCTATTACTTCTCAAATTCTAAACATGAGACGTATTGAACTCTCAGAGTCAACTTAAATAAATCTTTGCTAGATCTGAATGAAATATACATTTACAATGACTGGCAGTCCAGACAGAAAAAGTTTGTCATGTCTTACAAGTTAAAACATTTCATATAAGAGAAATGGTTTTAACAAAACTCAGACAGTATCAAGAGGAAATGTACTGAATTAAAAACCTTCTGAAACAGCAATTTTTTGGACCACTATAGAAAATACCAGAAGTTCAAACTGTTGAAAAACAACAGTGTACAAAGGGGTAAAAAATGTATTTAGAGCCAAATACAATATAACTGAGCCATATAATTTAGAAAAAGGGTTTAAGTGCACTTTCTCTGTACAATTTGACTACCATATATAAAAACTGGCAATCGATTAAAATGCAATTAAATACAGATTTGTAAGCCTTCTGGCCATTATATAAATACTAAAAAGTGAACTGCCAATTGAAAAAAGCTTACATACATACTCTACAAGCACAAATGGGCAAAGATGTAACTATAAAACTGTGTGGGAAAAAACCACCTTCATAACACATAAAGATGTTTTGGGCACTTGCATTTAGAAACGTTTTATAAATAAGCATTTAGTTTCACGTCCAAAAATAAAGCTAATTTTCCCCCAATTGCACCTATTAGTTGAGAACTCTAACATATATTAGGGATGCCTTTCAATGGACCATTTTGTGGGGAAAACTTTAGTAAATATAAAAACACAGAATTCCAAGGTAATTCCAGTGAGGCACGGTGAGGCCTTGTCAAGACACTCTGGCACTGCAAGTGGTCAACAGACGCAACGTGACCAACAGCCACGGAACGGCCACGTGTGCGCTTTGGCAATCCTGTGCAAGAGGGGTCCCGTCAAAATGTTCTCTCACAACACAAACACAATATCACAGAACAACACAACACAAAGGAGAACAGCTGAATTCAGACAACCCTACACAAATTGTGGGATTTCATCCTCAAGGTCTTCAAACTGCTGCATCCGTTTTAGCCTTGGTCTCTGGCATGCTGGCGTAATGTCAGGCAAGCCAGGCTCCTCTGGGGGTGGTGCCGGCTGACTGCCTGGTGGCGTGTGGCAGGCCGATGGGTCTGAGTCTAGGCCCTGGGTAGCGGGGGCTGTGCCAGGTGGCGTGGCTGCGGAGGGCAAAGCTGGCTTCTCCTCACTGCCCCTGACACTACTGGTGGGTGTGCGTGGCTTATAAAACGTCGTCCAGTGCTGGGGCTGCAGTGTCCTGGGAGCTCTGACAGGAGCAAGAGGACTGGAGTCCGAGGAGCGTCTCTCGGCGGCCTCTCTTGCAGCCCTGCCTGGCTCTGTGCATGGCTTCGCCGCCTGCCAGGCGCTGCCACAGTCCCCACTCAACCTGGCGCTCGGTGTGGCTCCTTTCTCTTGAAGCACACTGGGCACCGTGGCTGTCGCAATTTTGACAGTTACACTGTTTTGTTCACACTGTTGGCTCCATGTTTTTTGTGGGTCATAGCCATTGAATTTGGAACAAATAGTAGTAGGGGGATCTTTTCTATTAAGTTCTTCAAAGATAGGATGCTTGCCAAACTTGTCTGAATTTCCATTCCCCATATTTCGGCTGCTTTTCTCATTAGGAGAGCTTGCCAGGAGCAGTCTCTCCACAGGCAAACTCACAGGCCGAATCTTGGTCCTTGGCATATGCCTATGCATATGGCTTGTGACCCTATCCGAATGCAGAAGAAGTGACTTGGGGCTTTTACAAACATCTTCCCTCTTTTGCAATGCCAATTCAAGCTCCTGGTCTCGAAGCAAACGCTTTTTCTTGTCTGAAAAAAGAAAAACAGAAGATGTATTTAACCTCATTGCATAGAGCTATAATCTAATAAATTTTAGACGAAATTCTCTAGAAACAGGAGTCTGAGAATATTAGATTGGAATAAAATCTGCAATATTCTGGTATCTAGACAGAGGAGCTAAATATTCAATGTTATTAAAGGCATACTTTGGATTAAAAAGGTTTTAAAATATATCAAAATTAATAGACTTAATAGCTACAAAGCAGATTTGTAGGTTAGTAAAAATATACAGACAAAAAGTAAAAATGAAAGCTCTAGTCTAATTAGAACAATTGTCTGATCTTGGCCAGAGCTTCTGGAGGCTGACCAATGTGGGCAGGTGCGAGCCCCTGCACCTGTGCTGCTCTGGTGGTATGCTTTCCAGCCACCAGTCCTCAGTGAGGAGAGCAAATCAGAAGCCTTGACAGCTGACACACCACACATCCCCAGGCTGGGACACCATTCTGACTGAATGGCATGGCAGCGGGCTCTGTGCGCAGCCCACAGTCCTTCTCCACACTGATCTGTCCAGTGGTCCCACCAGCATCACCCGTCTTCCTCAGCGAGGGCTGCTGCGTTTTCTTCCCTAGGCTGACAGGCATGCTCCTATACCTAGTTTTCTGGGCCTCCCCAACATTGCAGACGCTAAGGCGCCTGACCCACTGCAGTTGGGCTGGAAGCCCCAGGACATCCTTCCAGTTCTACAGGGAAAACATGGAGCACAGGCGAGAGCTGCTCTGCAGCCAGCTGCTGCCTGGTCTCGGGATCAGTTTCTGCTCCCCTTCTGGTCTGGACAGGGCCCTTGTGAGATGCGCCTATCTGCTACCACCTGTCAAGAAAGACTCCTGTGTGCAGGTACATTGTCCTGCGTTCTTACTCAACTCTCTGGTATATAATAAGCACTCAAAAATGATACTTTACATTTATTTATATTTATTCATCTTAATTGGGAGCTCTAGACCATGGGATAGTAAAAACCAGGCTAGGTTGACCAATCAAGATTGGACTGGACTCCCGTCCTGACTTCCCGGTGCATTAGAAGCATGACTTCTGGCATCAGTAAGCATTCTGACCCTAATGTACAGGCTCATGTGGAGGTGCCTGTGCTCTATTGTATGGCACAGAACTAGGAAGATGAGAGCAGATACATGGACTCAAACAATGGGCCTGGTGCTTTGCACAGGTAGAAAGGTATTTTGTTCCTTTTTCTTTTTCAACCTTTCAGGCTCTGTTCATTTAATATATATGGCTATATTTTGAAAAACTGGATTCAACTGTAATAGATTTTTTTTTCATGTTCCTTGACTCTATACAGCAACCACTGAATGCCACATAACAGCTGTGCAACACGAAGAGCCAGGAATTCTTTTGCACTATAGCGTAACCAAAAATGGGGAAAATCCCATCATCGGTTTAAATATAGTGCTGCAAGAATACAGAACTGTAACAACAAATGCGAGCCTTTATACCTGCTTGACAGCTACCATTTATTGCTATACAACTGCTGAGAAAATAGTGATTAAAATGATTAGTCAAAGAACTGAAAGACATACACATATGTGGGCCTAATGTTAAAAGTAGGTCACAGTTAATTTTAGGAGCCTCAACTCCTTGAGTTTTAGAAGTCTCGTTTGACTCCTGAGCAGCAGGAGTAATATCTGAAATACAGCACAGAACATGCTGTGAGTTAGCAGATGGCTCAGCTCTTTTCTGCCTTGACATAAAACTTATGACAAGAAGCAAACATGAAAACAAGAATACTTTTCAGAAGGAACACAAAAACATTTATGAAACTAAGGATTTTTTAAAATAAAAGGTATTATAAAAGGTATGATTACAAAAGGTTCACTAACAGGCAACTTTCTCAATGGCTAGTCCAGATGTGTTAATAAAATTTTGAGTTCTGGATCGCCTCAATTGTATTCACCCTAGCTTTTGGCTTTTTTTTTTTTTTTTGGCTGGTCCTAGAGCTTCAACTCAGGGCCTAGGCGCTGTCCCCAAGCTACTTTTGTTCAAGGCTAGTGCTCTACCAGTTGAGCCACAGTGCCACTTCCAGCTTTCTCTGAGTAGTTTATTGGAGATAAGAGTTTCATGGCCTTTCCTACCCAGGCTAGCTTTGAACTGCGATCCTCAAATCTCAGCCTCCTGTGTAGCTAGGATCACAGGCATGAGACACCAGCACCTTGCTTTTTTTCCTTTTTAAGTGATGTTTTAGTGGTACCTGGGATTGAAATCAAGGCCTCATATGTACAAAGCAAATATTCTATTCATTTTCGCTTCTGATTTATTTGCTATGTTTTAAAGTCAGTAAACAGAGTTTCTACATGGCCACTCACCAATGAGACATGAGTCACATTTTTCCAATGCATTGTGCTTGTGTTCTGATTCCTGAAATGATGTAGTTGGTTCAAACATTTTGCTTTCATTAACTGCAGTGTGAATATCCTGTCAAGGGAAGAGAATTTTCACACTTGAAGAAGCACAACACATTCCAGAATAAACAGCTTGAAGATGTCTAACAATATATTAACATCAATACTACAAAGTTCTAATGCAATTTTATAAAATTCAAAACTCACTTCCTTTGAAGAAAAAAACATTGACTTCATAGAATGTTCTGGGTCTCTTTCTTCTGGTGACAACAGAGGTTTTGGAAGACAGCCTTGATCAACCTGGTGTGCAACAGCACCTGTGCCAGCTGCAGCATCTTGTGGCTGGAGAGACCCATCGAAGATCTTCTGTGAGTATGTAATGAGGAACTCTACCAGTCGTGCCTGGTGTGAATATTCCGCAAGGGAAGAGATGGTGACAGGAGCAGTTGTGGGTCTTGGCCTAATGAGACTTGGTCCAAATATGACTCCCAAGTTTTTGGAGTTCATCTTGTTTTCTTCGGAGTGATCTACAACCCTGCAAAGTAGAGCACAGAAAGCTACAGGAGATCAGCCTATTAGAGGTTCCTTAATTGTGGTTTACTATGGGATGGGAAGGAAAAATAGATTGCAAAAGACTAAGAAAAATTTGTTAAGGGTCAAGTTTGAGTGTATGTGTGGGGTGGCTAGGAAAAGAATACACTCAATTAAAATATTTGTTACAAATAGGGTTTACAGTATTATATCAGAATAAAATCCAGGTACAAGGAACTACTGAGGCTTGACCAGTGGAAAGGAGAATATATCCCTTAAAATGATTTCCATCTCAGCATGTGATATACCCTCCCGTATGCGGGAACAAAGCATCACCGGCTTTCTGATTGCCACTGCTAGGTTTTAAGCCCATGATCCTCTCTCCTGAAAATCACTTTATTCTATCACACTCCCACCCTCTGGCTTTACTTCAAGCTCTCATTACCTTTTACTTCTGTAACTGTTCAAGGAGACCTGAAGGTCTTCAACCCATTTTATATATTTCTACCAGAAAGAGCCAATGGGTGAATCTGAGTGTATTAAACATCTAGCGTGCAATTCTTTAAAGGGTAAGTATGTAAGACTTTCTTATCAGGCCCCTACCTAGTTCAGTTTTGGCTCCTGCTTGCTTTATTATAACCTCATCAAATCACTTGTATTTCCCAAATCAAAACAATCTCATTTATCTTCATGTCTGTAATCCTCTGCCTAGAACACTCTTCTGTAAATCTTCTGTCCAGCAGATCACTACTGAGTTCTTTAGGTCTCATTCAAGGGCTATCTCCTCTGACCTATAACCGTACCCCAATCTTTTCTGCACCCAATGATGCTGCACTGGGCTAGTATGCAGGTTTGTTCCCAAGGATGGTCTCACAGACAGCAGAAATCCTTTGTTTCCCAGCCAGAACCTGGCATATAGACAGCATCTGAGAGACTGTGTTGGTGCATGAACTTACATTCAACATTCAACACTCCCTCTCCCTAACACAGAAAAATGAAATTTGTTTTACAAACAAGGTGGATGGACTTCACACTACCGGAGTGTACAACAAATGATTAAGACAGGGACATTTTATTCAACAAAAACCACCCACCAATGGATGCTCTACTTATAAAAAATGCTTACCGCCTGAGGTGCACAATGAGGTAATGAAGACTGTTAAAATTTGATGGTGGCAATTGTCTTAGAAGGTCCTTGCTTTTTAGAAGAATTCGGTTTATTTCTATACACATGTTTGGGTACTTTTTGTCCTCAGAGCTATCCTTTTTTGTCTCTTGTTCTTCATTTACATGTTGTATCTCTTTTGCAAGGTCTATAAATTCCTTGTATAGTCGAAATAAAATAAATGGTTCTGGGAGCTAATAAAATAAAATTACATTAGGAATATATTTTTTTCTCGTTTATTTTGGTTAATACTCAACTGTATTTACAGCTTTTCAATGCTTTTGCATATCCCTCTAGATTAACAAATTTCAAGTACAGATGTGACCTATAGAGTGAATCATCAATATAAACTATATTTAAAACACATGTTGGGCTGGGAATGTAAGAAATGGTAGAGTGCTTGCCTAGTATGCAGGAAGCCCTAGGTTCAATTTTCTCAGTACCACATAAACAGAAAACAAGTGATAGAGTGCTAGCCTTGAGCAAAAGAAGCTCAGGGACAGTGACCTGGCCCTAAGGACTGGCAATAAATAAATAAATAAACCATGTTAACCAATAGTCTCCCTATGCCTATTATATTTATGAGTGCTCTAAAGACAGGATGACCACCAACTTTTACTGAAATGAACCTAGGATAATACACAAAACAATCCAAATAGAAAAAGCAGTAACCTGGATTTTACTGGTATGGGGGATATAGAAATAATAAAATACTACAGGGCCTTAGTGTTATAATTTGGCCAGATTACAAAGAAGCACCAGACAATAGACCTACAAAAGATACAGCCAACAATTTATCTAACTTTTAAATACAGTTTAACTTGCCTTGATTTGTCAAAAGAAAATACTCCTCTCCCCAAATAACAAATGTGCTCTTATGAATTTCAATGTTCACACTGTTCTGAAATGGAAAAATACAGTGTGCTCTGGCTACCACTGTCCTGTCTGATCCATGGAAAGCTAAGTGTCATCTTGAGAGCAGCTTCTCCTGCCACTCTGAGACATGGAGGCAATGATTTCACCTCTTGAAACGTCCCACTTCCCACATGAAAGTTTTGATTATGTTCTAATATTCAAGACAGAACAAGAGTTTATCATTTAGACCCCATTCATCTCTTCTCCCTGATGGGCTAGAAAAAATAAAGGGGAAACATTTCTATTTCTCAATGTAGGAATCTACATAAGTATAACTAAACAACAAGCAATACTTTTCTGGATTAGTATGACTAGGAGAATTTTTTTTTTAAAGCTCTCCTCCTATAAACAGCCTGAGGTGATCTGTGAAAATGGTTTGCTCCTCTCTTGACCCAGAAGACCCCACAAAATCATGCAAGTCAAGAGGTTCAAATTTTTGTGTTTCATGTTTACTTTAAGAACACCTACAAAACAGCCCAGGTCATCAAGGGTATGCATATCCAAAAAGCTACCAAGTGTTTGAAAGACATCACTTTAAAGAAGCACTGTGTATCGTTCTGGTGGAGATGTCAAGTGTGCCCAGGCTAAATAGTGGGCTGGACATAGGGTCAGCCCAAAAAGTTAGTGCTGAATTTCTGCTGTGCATGCATAAGGATGCAGCGAGCAATGCTCAACTATACTCTCTGGTCACTGAACATATCCAGGTGAACCAAGCATCTAAACTCTCTGCTGAGTTTACAGAACTCTTGGTGGGATTAACCCAGCACGAGCTCCTCCCATTGAGATGACCCTTACTGAAAAGGAGTCAATCATTCCTAAACCAGAAGAGGATGCTGCACAAAAGAAACTGAGAAGAAACTGAAGAAAAAAATTAAGGCACAGGAATAAATTTAGTATCAAATACATGCAAATAAAGGGGAAAAAAGGAAAAAATTTGAATAGACAAAAGCAGCATCTTACAACCTAAAGTGACTGCTAAACAGTGACTCAGCCTAATTTATAGAACCTAATTTATAGAATCCTAAGGACACCTGAAGTGTGGGCACCAGGTTCTCTGATCTTAGGGCAAGGTGGGCTGCATGAGGAAAGTCTGGAGGTGTTTCTTTACAACAGATGCCAACAGATCCCAAGGAAATAGCTACATAAATGGTTTTAAAAAGATCCAGTTGGAACAAGAGTTCCATAAGCTGATTGTTGAGGACTACCAGCATTATTTTCTCTGCTATTATTATGTCTTCATTTTCACCCAAAGACTTGATGCCAGCTGGATTTGGCCCAGATCATTTTTGTGCCTGGTTCATGACAATGTGCTGATTAAGTTCCTCTATAAGATAACTGCTGGAAGCCACTTATTTCACCCCACAGATGTTTTCTTTGGATCTACTCCTATAAGCATAGAAAAAAAAAATCTAGGATAACCCCCCTCTCTGATTGTATTCTTGTT